ATCTTCATCTCAAATAAATTTTCCTACTCGCTTGCTCATTATCTACTATACAGTGTCATAAACTGCTAAAGCTTTACGGGCATATTGGGTATCAAGCAGACTTTTTAATTGATCCCCAACAAGTTTTGACGGGTAACTTCAAAGATATTGGCACAGTTGTCTCCTTTTTTTTTCAGTCTGGATTTTTTTAAAGTGGCCAGTAGAAGATGAGAGTTATTAATTTATTTAACGATAGCTTTAACATCGTCCTCTATCGAAGCCATCATTCGTATTTTTGAGATGTCTCCTATCAATAAGTTAAGTGTATGGGCGATGCAACAGATATATGTTTATACTTTTCATGAATGATATTTCTGCCTTTGACCATTGCATTGGCGTTGTCCGTCACTAGAGCAATGAAATATTCTGGTCCTATTTCTATTAGTACTTCTTCTATTTTTTCTGCAATGTACTCTGCAGTATGTCGATTTGTATCAGTAGTAAAAGTTAAAAAAAAAAAAGGTGTAGTACTGTTGATAATAAAATTAATAAGGGCCTCGTTCTTCTGTTGCTCGAACCATCACACTGCAGACCCAGAGCATTGGCTTCACATATTTTAACTTTTATGTTGGCTGCGATTGTTTCGTATTCTGATTCTAAAAGTTTATTAGACAAAGAATGTCGTGAAAGCATTTTAAAAGAATAACTGGCAATGTTTATTTTCCGAGATTGCAAATGGTGTTCCAGAAGCATAAATTGCCCTTGCAAACAGTTGTTCTTCTCTATTTGATAAATCCATGTAAACTAGAAGTTGATGCGCTACCTGTTATGCTGACAGTTGTTGAAGCCTCGTCCACTTCACTTTGATCTGAAAATAAATGTTTTGTTATGAATTGAATTCAACTTCAGCAAAAAAGCCCCTTTCACCCTCCGTGTAATAAATTTTGCTGCGCGAAAAACAAGTTGGCCATTGTATGGTTAACTATAACAAAAAGATTTTAGCCAGAATGTTTACTCCAAAAAAATATAAAACTTTCGTCTGAAACGTTTTTTTTATAAAAGGCGGTATTTAACTGTAACACTTTAATTTGAACACCCAGTATAGTTTACCATACATCATTCTCTCTATTTATATTTACATACCTTTCAAGGATGAATCTGCAGTACTCCTCGGAGAGGCAATGGATACATTTCAACTTTCCCCTATTTTAAAGCATTTGTTAATATCACTGGTACATTTCAGACAGTTCAACAAGTTTTTGTCATTCTTGTTACATTTTTAACATATTCACTTGCACAAAATTTGCAAACATAAACCGTTTTTCCCTAAAGTTTTTTTATATTATAGTAATTCCACACATTAATTTTTGGTTTGGTTATTTTATTACTCCTTATCCTATTCATTTTGCCGATTTATGTGTTCAATAAACGAAAATAATTCTTATACTGTCTTTGATTCCACGTTATGACACGAAGAATTACAAATACATGCCTGGGATTCCCCGCGGTCCGTTTTGCTCGGTTAAAATCGATATCCGATGGCAACGCTCGGTCGCGTTTACACCGTTCCCCTTATGAGAAAATTACCGTGGAGAATTTTCTACCCGAGAATATTCTCGCCTCACATCACTAGTTGTTACAAGGTTTAGCTGCCACTCCGAGGAATTGTATTAATTACATTTTGTAAATACGAGTACATAGTTGATATTTCTTAACTCTTTTTTTTTTTGAAACGATGATTATTGATTTAATTCCATTTCATTTTAGACACTACACTCAGGTTATGTCTTTTGTATCAGAATCTATTTCACTGAATATCCTTCCGTTGATTTATGATATCCAAGATTTTCACGTCTCCTGTGACCTTATTTTTCAGTCACGCATATCCACATTATTGATGGCAATGGATCCAGTTCCCCAAAGTTTTTCAATTTACCTGCTTATTTGTGAAAGGTCGACAAGCAAGCGTATGATCCTCACATCTTAAATCTATATGCTTGAATCACTCCCTTGTATTTTTTTCATTTTATAAATTTTCCACAAATTTAATGTAAAACATTTTGGTTTTAATGAAAAAATATATCATAGTTCCGGAAAACCACAATGTTCCAGAAAACCACGATTTGTTTTAATTGAATTTAAGTAGGTATGAGCGAGACTATCAAAACTGAAAAACCTCATTTTATTAGTTTGTTATTGAAATGTATATAGGCGGCGCTACTTTAAATTAAATATTTCTGAATACACAGCCGCGCTGAGATGAATGTGAATACGTGTTCTAAGAATTATGCATGTAGATATAGGATTTTTCCATGTAGGCCATGGCTGACAAAGAGGTATAAGAGACATGTTCGCAATAACTACATACATACATAGATTAAAAACAAAAAAATAATTATGACATTGAATGCATTTATTATCTCTGTAATAAAATATCTTTTAACTTATTTTTGAAAATGAAATAGTTTTTGTTCCTTGGCATGGTAATTTGGTTTAAGTATTTACATTTATTAAAAAAGAACAGCTATTTAAAATATATGCGTACATCCATTTAGAAACTTTAAACATCATTCGAGTATAATTTTTTTTAGCAGTGTTTTTAATTATTTAAGCACATTTATGTACTCTAACACCATAACTAACAAAACTAAATAGTGGTTATATTAAGTGATGATTTGACTTGTTTGCTACTTAAACATGACGTGCTTTGAAATTGGAAGTTCACTTGTTATTTGACTAAATTCCCCGCGATCATTGTTTGGTCTGATGTTTAGTGTTTGTTTCGGTGTTGCCAGAATTTCTGATAAACGTAGTAGCGTTTTCAATAAAAAAAACTTCTTTTGATTTTATGGGTCATATACTTTTTTAGTATATTTATTGACTTCCTCTCCAACAATATAACATTCAACTCTCTCCAATATATTGCGGTATCGTTCCGAATATTTTAAACGACAAAATCAGACAGTCTTTTCAGGCCCCATCGGTCTCGCTAGGCTTAAATCTCTATTAAACTATCTCAATTTAATTAAAGACAGGAACGTATTTTGAAACGAACAATTTATAAAGCGCTCTTTACATCTATCAATTTCCTCATGATGAAAAATGGTTTTTCATTCAAGTGAATATTTTTATGATGGGCATCGGTTTTTTTTAGGGATTTTCTCACCTTTAAATAACACCATGAGTCATTTATTTTGTAACTGTGTTTCCTAGAAAGCGGTACCGTTACATATAGCGGCCTTAATAATAGGGTGGGTGATGTCATAAAACGATGAAAAAATATATCACCAGCATTGCAGTGAAAGTAGATGCGTAAAGTCAGAAATCGCGCGTATTCACAACAGTTTTGTTTTCTAGCCATTTGTGTTTAATTTTTTAATACCACGATGGGTGATCTTGATGTTGCAATCCACTTGACCATGACTCTTTAGTCCAGCGTTTCTTAATCTTTTAAAAAAACCCTATTTTTAATATCTATTTTTATAGTGTTTAATAATATTTTAATCAAAATCAATTGTATCCCTTTCACGTTGAACTTCGAAGAGTTCATTCTTGTGAATAATTGTTCTTCGATATATTGGAATATTTTTGAGTTATTTTGAAAAAGTCATTTATTTTAATGACTTTATACACAGTTAAAAAAGTATCAACTTAGTATTCACCCTGTATCTTCTTCGGCAAAATGCGTTCGCGAAATTCGTCTCGGCCGTTTTTTTTTTTTTTTTTTTTTTTCCAACATTTTTGATGAGCATTTAATTCGACAAAAATGATTAATTTCAATATGCAAATCAGTATACGATGTGGACCTAGAGCCATTAAAAAATTAAGAACCGAGCAACATTTCTAAAACACGAAACACAAGGAACGTATGATGTACTAATTAAGCGGCACTTATTAAAAAGTGGAACAAAACTTCGAGAATATTTTCGATTGACCTTTATTTGATGAAGTTCTGAATTATATTAGGAATGATATAGAAACTTAGAAACGACAGCAGAATTGCGATTGAAACCAAATGTATTTGGTAGAAACGAACAACGTCCTGTGTATTCCGTTAAAACTATACACATAAAGCTTTGGTTTTTATTATAATTCGTTACGGAAAAATTTCGTGCCAACTCGGAAGACGAAATTCCGGACATATTAACATGCAAATCTGTGGTTTTTATTGGTCTTGAATAGCAGTGGTGGTACTCGGAACTTAATTGTAGTGCTTCACCGTTTAGAAATACGTACAAAGCCACCGACTACAACGAACTATTCTGTTCAAATCAAACTCATTTCGATTCCACCGCAATTTCATCAACGAACAAAAAATAATTGAAATTTAGGGCCGAAGTTTCATACAAACCACACTCGTATCCTCACATAGATTAGCCGAAAATTTAATAAAAACCAGGGCTTATAGAATTTTTAAAAATGAGCGGCATTGAAAGTACATTTTTAAATACGGCGAATTTTGCGAACGCGTTCCGTTGACGAACATCGTCGGAGATATTCGCGACCGAAACCAAGCCTTAAGATGTTCGTTCAAGGATGCGTTCAGCCAAGCCTCGTGATCAAGTACGGTTTGTAACTACACACCTTAGTTATGTCTTCAACAGAAAATTTAAAAAAAGAATACGTTCCGAGGTGGTTCTTAATTTTCCAGCATAACACATTTCCGTTCTCATTTTACGCGCGAAAATACCGTTGTAACTACAACTTGGCAACGTTGCTGATGATAAGAACAATGTGAACGACTGCTTCTAACCTCGATCAACTTACATGTGCGTTCCTAGCATGCCGACTATTTGCTTAAATTTTAGCTAGCTTAAGATTAGTAGTATACAGTACAGTTACAGGTTACAGTATAGTTAGGATACACACACCTCGTGGTTAAAATTTGATTTAACTTAGTGTTATAATAGGTAAATAGTTTTATATTCTCTTATTATTTGTGAGGTTTTAATAATTAAGACGTTGGTGGATCTGCTAGTTTGTTTTGTGTTTCTAAGATTTATATTTAAGTTGGAATATATATGTACAGTCCAGGTAATAAATGCAATTATTTTAAATATTAATTTAACTTTTGTTGAAAAATTGGGTATAATTTTATTATTTTTTAATCATTTGATCTATCTGTATGAATTAGGGTGTGGCTCAAAGCCCACTTGTACTGGCCTATTGTACCCATCTCAGTTTCTACCCCATCAGGTTAATATTCTTGATAGCATTAACTCTTTAATTTCATACTCTATTTAAAACAGTTTTTAAAACTCGTAGCTATGTGTAAACTTCTTTATACGTTTGGATGTAAATTATCTTAAGGGGTTTCCAGTTATATTAAATCTTGTAGACAATTATGGCCTTTCGTGAGTTAGTATGGATACTTATGCATTATTGTAGAAACGTGTATTAATTATTTGGCTTTCTTTTAATGTTAAAACCAATTCAAGCTACGAAGCAAACATTTTTTGTCCCTTGAATGCAAATGCATTATTACTTGGTCCTAAAATTGTTAAAATTTTACTTTTCGTTACCTGTTTTTCAAACACTATATTTTGAGATTTTTAAAATATTAATGCCCATGGTAGAGAAGAGGGAAGAATAGTTAAAAAGTCAAATAAACAATATGACAGAGGAATATGATGGCTTAAATTTTTCACAAGATTTATTTATATTGTAGGAGTGACCTGCGATACTATGCCATTGGTACCTTTTGAATATTGTGGGTGTTTAAAGCCCAATTAGTTACATAATAATAGTTCCGGAAACTTTGGAACATATTGATAATTTAACAATAATAAAACACTCTTTACCACATTTAATGGCTATATCTGGTTTAAAGACCAATTAAATAAACTTTGGGACATCTTGATAATTCAATAAGAATAATAAAACACTAATAGTCGGTTGCAACAACGTTCATTCACATTTATGGGCCCGATAAACTTGACAGAGCTTGAGAATATGATCTGTCGGAATAACAAGTTCAAATTACACACAGTCTAATAAAATTATTAACTATTAAGGAATTTAACAAGCTTTCTTACAAATGTGTGTAAACAATCTTTACCATAATAATTGCAGAAATTAAACTACCAATTTGAATACCATTGTATGTAATTGAAAGTGACGAATGACGTATATATAATATATTATCAAACGCAAAATTAATGGGACACGAGGTTTTTCAGAAAAATATCGATAACAAAAATTTAAGTCAAAATAATTCAATTAATAATGTTGAACTATAAAGAATTTATACAATCAATGTAGGAGAACTACACGTCTCGTTACACCATAGGTCTTGCCGAGGAAGAAAAACTACTAAAACTTGTCTAAAACTTATTTTTACTCGAAGGACCATGTAATTTTTAACCGCTTACAAAACGTTTAATTTAAGTCTCTTATTATTGTCAGCAATACCCTTTTTATCAACTCTGTCTCCCTCCTTAAACCCCCAGAAGTACCAGGCATATTGCTCGGAAAAACCGTATTTTAAAATTGTTTTGGATTAGTACCTAAGTTTAATAAGTTATAACGAACTATTATCCGTTCTAATAGAATTTTTATTACCCTTGATTGGGGCTTATTTTGGTATTTTGAAAGATTAGGGAAAACCAGAGCTGTTCCAGTGCGGGTCTATACTATGAGTAGAAATATACAGTATGATACAAAAAATATATTGTAAATAATAATTCAATGTGATCGAGACTTTCTGGAACAATCAAAAATCACTTTTGTTTAAGAAGTTAAAAAAAAAGAAGAAAATAACATTTGCGGGATGAAAATCAAATGTTAATTTAATTTTAATTTTTCGGTTTGGTATATAAATAATAATAGATTTGAATTTAACTTAACAAACTGGTTAGACAAGAGATATGTTACTTAAAACATACTTATAAACGGGGACTAATAAATAAGTTTTGTCACACGTTGGATAACTAAGTTAGATTATAAAATTATAAAGAGATCCAAGTTGCAGAATTCAAGGTGTTGTTCAGCTGAGTAAGGACGAAAAGTTGAAAGCCGATATTGGAAAGTAGTTGTAATAGGAGGAACGCATATTAAAGGAAAATATTGCGTGTAGTTAGTTACCTTTTTACCATCTTTCGGGTCCACTGCTACATACACCATAATCACTCCAGTTATTCAAAATTCAAACGTGGCAGCACTGCAGCTCTTATTGTGGCAACACATTAGATGGTTAAACGCTAGTCCGATCGAATTTGTCCACTGGCAGTGACCCGTCCAACATGTGACCGGAGATTTATCTCTGAGCTGTGGACAACGAAGCGATACCCTCAGCCCGCCATTGCAACTAGTGTTCTGATTGTGCACTGAACATTCCTGTATCATTCTTCAAAATAGTTTATGTATTCAGGAAATTACCATTCTCCATTATTAAACATATCTAATTTATGTAATTTACTGCTTCTGGAGGTATACAATTTTTGATAGATACAAAAGATGTTCAAGAAAAATTAATTGAAGGAGTTCAAAAAGCTAATAAAAAATTAAAATCCATTCAGTTTTAGGCAGAGCCTTTATTGGATAAATACATAAAAATAATTTAATTAAATGCCTTTTTAAATAATGTTTCCCAATGTTTATTAAAAGCTTTTAATTTTTTATTGATAATTAAAATAGGATACATTTTTCAACGGTTGGCAAATTTGTATGTTACAAATAAATCATCTTTAGATGATTGGATAGAAAATTAATCACAATCATTGTTTGTGACCTTGTGTAACTTACGATTTATAACAGATATTTTAAAAAACACAGCTTTCTAAATACCTCTCCGCAGGTTTCAAGTATGTTGCGTATTATTGAAGAAAAATAATGTATTTTTCTAACCTGAATTTAGAATTTATGGCAAGATTACTAAACAAACTTGATATATAAATTGTTTATAAGTTTGATTTTAATGATCTTGGTTTTAGAAAATAGAATATAATTAATAGCTTAGTTCGCGGAAAGAATCGTGAACTGATTCAAAATTACTAATTCATATTTTTAGCGCATGTCCGATTCATTATCAATTCTGAATTTTTAGCGCAAACGCGTGTCAAATAAAATACGAGCAACCGTTTCCCTTCGGAAAACAACTACTCATTTGGCTAATACCGAACATGTACTGAATTATATCCAAAGGGAAAACAGCAGAGAAATTTAATTTAGACACTACCTTTGAATTGGCTTACTAAGGAGAACGTCATTCTTAGACGGGTCTCGTCATTATTAGGACTCTTCACCAAGAAATTGGTAGGTTTTTAATTCCAGTCTCTATTGGAATTGACAGAGAAACCAAATTAACTATTATACAATATGATGGTAACGCCATCTGTCCCTAGTAAGCAAAATCAAAGGTCGCTTCTAACTGGGTACTATAAACTAAAACCAATTTAATTATGAATATTAAACAAATTTACTATGTGGCTTCTAGAGGTGGGAAGTTCGAATCTTTTTACTGAATTAATTCATTTGATTCATTCACCTAAAAAGATTCGTTCTCAAGTGATTCACTTTAGCGTACCACGAACGATGTTATTCCGCCGATCCCTCGAAGGAAATCAAACCGAACGTTTACGAATTTGAGAACTACCTATTTACTAGGTCGTCGAGTGGCGTTCAGTCTGTAATGCGTAAGAAAGAATGTAATGATTTGGGTGGTGAGATGCTTAAGTAAAATAATTAATACCGGTTTTATTTTAATTTGATATTTTAAAGTATAGCGAATTATTTCATAAAAAGAAGACAAATGGAAATTTAAATACTATAATAGTAGGTTCATCCTTGTCCGTTAAGATAAACAACAGTAACACAATTTTTTTTAATGCTAAATATAGCCAAAACTAACGAAAAATTATAGATATATGATTCGTCATTTATTGCTTTACTTATTTACTTTGATTTAAATTTATTTATCAGACAACGCGCATAAATTGTTTACCTAAGTTTAATACACCTCTGGTAAAGTGAGAAAAACATTACAGACACATACCGCCACCGCCTGTAAGTTCGAGTTCTTGTACCTATTATGCTGTAGAACGTAGAACAAAAGCGACCGATTTGCCGATGCTGATTTAAAATACCGAATCTTCGAATCGGATCCGAATGAACGAAACAACCAAACTCGGAATTGGGCATTCTTGATCGATCACAGAGCCGTCGAACAATTGACTCAAAAAAGATTCGAATCTTTTAAAAACAGGGAATTAATTCATTCGAGTCAGTGCACTGATTCGTACGACACACCTCTAGTGGTTTCTAAACGAATAAAATTGAAAATCTAGACAGAACAACATGCGCAAAAACAAGAGCTTATGAACCAGTTCAGAATCGATAATTTGTAGTGGGAAACTAAAACATCTCCCATTTCTTCTGCATCTTTTTATTTTTCGATACTTAGATATGGGGAGCTTAATATGAGTAGTGCACAATATATCCCCTGTAGCAGTGCATCTCGCTTGTTAAAGAGATGGCACTAAGTTTGCAGCGCTAATTGCGACTGGCCGCTCAACTAAATCTATATGGCGGTAAATTCAAACATAATTTATTCGGCAATAATAATTGAGAAGTATATTGCATGTTCCATTAAATGAGCTGTAAATCCAGGAGCTATTTTTATTTTGATAGCTAAAAATAATACGATTTTTTTTATTGTTAGCTATTACAATAAGAGCAGCGTTTGGATTAACACATTTAAAAGAACATGTAATATACTTTTCAATTTTACCTGAATCATTTATTTTTTTACCTATAGAAGGTAGATCTAAAAAAAATTGGCTCTGGTATAAAAAAAATGTATAAAATATTTTATTGAAAAATTATATAACTTATTTAATTTATTTTAAAGTCGAATATAACTCTAGCCATATTCATTTTACTGAAAGAAAAAAAAACACTAAATTAAATCATTCTTTAATTATTAAGTGTTGTTTGTGATAATACAGTGTCAGCTATCGAATGTTTTACAATTCGTTTTGCTAATGTCCAAGTGAAAACTACAAAGAGTTAGCATTAGTGTGAAAAGGAATAGAATA